TATTTTTTAGTTCAAGTTTTCTTGAAACAAACAAACAAACAAACAAACAAACAAACAAACAAACACCACAGCTTTTGGTAAGAAACTTTAATACTTGTCTTACTTATTCTTCTAAACTTCCTAACGTCCAGTATATTGTACAAATTTTCCAGTCATTGTTCTGGAACTGTATATTATGTGGCCGGATATAGATTAGTGCCGTATACACCTAAACCTCCAAAACATTAAAAAGCTCTATCCACGTGTTTTCACTGTCTTTTTAAACTGAGTAAGAGAAACATGAAACTACATAAAAACCTACTTGAGATTTGTGTTTTTTAACCCCTCTCCCCATTTATTATAGGTGTTGTAAGTAAGATTTAGGAAGATCAGAAAATGGAACCAGAGGAAAAAACATAGCTGTTATTTGTGTTCTGTGAGCACTGAAATCTGTATATCAAATGAGATTTCACCAAGCCAGAGTAATCTTTCAGATTGCTAAATTGGAAATGATTATTTGAGTAGCTTGTACTATTTTTTCAGACTATGGAAATCTGCTTGAAATCTTGAATTTTAAGTATTTCATGAAAGTTTCTGCCTCTGTATTCCATGGAATGGTGAAACAGAGAGCTGAGTAATATATTAAATTGGTTGTTTGTGTGTGTTACTTATGTTTCTATGCTGATGATAGATGCTATCCCCACCTCTTTTAATAATGTTTCCAATAGAAAACAAGAGCTAACTTATTATCCTCAGCCACAAAAAGCATGAACCAAAAGTTCCACCAATCTCACCAGTTTTTGCACTGATCATTCAACATTTGGTCGTCCTCAAGCAATTGATTCTCAGAGCACTGATAGATGTTGACTAGTTATAGGGAAAAATCTAAGCAGGTTTGAGCTGCATCTTGACATTAAAAACTTAACTTTGCTGCCTCAGACATTATATCTTGACACTCTTAAAAAGATGGTATGGACTTTTCATTAAAACTCTAGCTTAGTAACTTCCTAGCTCTGCCCTTTGAACCTTGCTATCCTTGTATCAGAAGCAAAAGAAAATATATCTCGTAGCAGAACAAGCAGACATCATGTTCAGTTAGAAAGTTATTTAATTAGTGTTGATCATGACTCCCGATGATAGTGATTTGATAAGGAATAATTTAGTATTTAATAGTCTGTTACATGCACCAATTCTATCTGGAAAAGAAAAGCATATTGTATAAAATGAACGTAATACATTTGGAAAGCCTTGTTCCAGTGAGCTGAAAAACTTTTTTTAGTTTCTTTACTGTCTTTTCATATCCCAGTGATGAGATACACAGGGATATGTCACATAAGATGTCTGTATTTTTTTTTAATTTTAAAGGCAATTGTGAAAAATTGTTTCTCATGGATTAAGAAAGAAACCAGAACCAACAAATCGAGAATGGAAAAGGGTCTAAGGTATAGATTACAGATGTGCTACAGAAGATCAGTGTTTAAAAATCAAAGGCATCTGAATATATGATTTTAAGGCCCACTTTTTAAAACAAAAATAATGTGCTAGATTATAAAATGTTGATCAAAATCAAGATACACTATCAGTAGCATGACATATAGTTACTAGAACTTGATAAAATACATGGGACATAGCAGAGATATTTTAGAGGAGGGACAATTGAGGACTCTGGAGCTACAGCTAAGCTTCTTGACCTTTCATTGAGTTGCAGGAGAATCTAAAAGCAGAAAAGTGGACCTGAGAATTTTAATACTTTTTATGTTTTTTTCCATTTTTAATGGATGGGAAGTAAAGTTGGAAGCCGGTTGGAAGCAAACAAGTCTTTTTTTAATCTCTCGAATAATGCCCCAAAATTGTTATTTGAAGGGGCAAGGGAACAATGGTTTCACATTTCAAGAAAAGTTGCAACTTAAATAGATGTTGGAGAAGCATGTTGCTACTTGTTTATATGGCCCAGCATAAAAGTCAATTACAGACTGAAGTGCGCTAAATAGGAATAAGTCACCTGAAGGACCTTGAAACAGTATCCCAAAATTTCATGTTGTTTTGCCATTATAAATAGGCTTGTCTATTACTTGATAATGAATGTGCTCCTATAAGGGAAACATCTTTAGGCTGCTAAAGATAGCAATGTGACATTTCTGCTTGAATTTTCATTTTATTATTTTATTGGTTTGTGTATTATGGTTTATTTTCTTCTTTTTTTTGTTAAATTGTTTTTTTATGCCCAGGGTGATTTAAGTTGAGTTGTGCAGCTGTATGAATGTGATAGATGATAGATGATAGACAGACAGACAGACAGACAGCAAAAAGCCATCCATCCATCCATCCAGTTGAGTTGTGCAGCTGTATGAATGTGATAGATGATAGATGATAGACAGACAGACAGACAGACAGCAAAAAGCCATCCATCCATCCATCCATCCATCCATCTATCCATCCATCTATCCATCTCTCTCTCTCAAAAATTCTTAGAAAAAACAAGCAAAATTAGACATTCAAGATATTTTATTTTACAAATTCTTACTTCTTCAGAGGAGTTTATAAAATATCACAAACTCATGTATTGCATAGTAGCTTATCTCCAAATGAAATTGTTAGAGGTTGAAACTGTACAATCATTTCTGAAACTCAAATCTTTGATATCATGAATATAAATGGGGTATCTGTTCTCATGTCTAAGAAGGGTCATATTGAATTTAACCAAAGGGGTAGTATGTCTAATATTTTATTCCCAAGAGTTCAACCAATTCAAATAGATAATCTATAAATGGGAGATGGTGCTACAACGATAATGTTTGTCATTCATAATTTTCAGCCATGATGTTTTGGAAACATAACACCTTCTTACCAACAGGTTATTAGCCTCCTGATTTGTCTGAAAGATATCTAAATTGGTGACAGTTCCTCAGTACAAAATTTTGTAAAAGAAACTTCATTTGATTAATATGTCCTGTTCGAAATTTGTGAAGTTTTTTAATGCTAAAGATTTCCCCACAGTTTAGAAAAATAAATTAGCGAAAGGCTGCTTGCAGAGCTGCTGATGGTATTTCATTATGATTTTTGCGTTAGAATTTCAGTGAAGATGTATTTAATTTATAACTAAAATACTATTTTGAAGCATCTTATACTGAAAACTACAGTATTTTTGGCATGAGGTAATTAAAAGCAAATGCGAATAGTTAAGGTTTGTTTCACTGATGGTGACTCACACCCTCATCACCTCTTAATTACACTGCTGTTATATACACAACTTGAGATTGCCTTTGAAGACCACCCAGAAACCACAGTTGGTAGAAAATGCAGCTGCTGTCTGTTAATGAGGGAGTGTTGCTACAGCAAAATAACTCCAATCTTGTGGGCACTCTGTTGACTACTTATCAGTTTCTGTATGAATTTAAAGTTTTTGTAAATATCTATGAAGCCTTACGTACATAGCTTGGCTTCCTGTTTGGGAACCATCTCCTTCAGGTACTATCTGTCATTTTCATAGTCTATGAGGGACCATTTGCTTTTGATTCTTACCTCAGTTGTGGCTAAGAATCTGAAGGCAGTCTTTCTCTGTTATGGTCTAATTGCTATGGAATGGTTTGCGCCTGCCCCAAAGTAGACTGGCTCTTCCTACTTTGTATGAATACTGGAAGATGTCAAACTAGAATTAATGGAGATGTGGTAAACCTATAGCTATCATATCTTTGTATGAAGACTTTATTTGTACATTGTAGATCTGACTTCATAAGACCGGGGGAGGGAGGGGGAGAGAATCAGCTCTGGGAGAGAAAAATGACATAGTAGATTTCAGGAAGAAAGTTTGATCATTTAATGTTTGAGTATGTGTCATCAAATATTCAAATATTCATCAAATATGACCACATAAATATTCTCCATGATGATTTGTTTCTAACCTGGCCTTCCAATCATGCCATTGCTATTATAACTGAGTTCATCTACCTTGCTAATGGTCATCCTCCTATTTTCTTTCCTTCCCACTATTGGAACTTCGTTCAGAGAGTTATGTTTTAATTTATCCAAAATAGGATAATCTGACCTTGGTTACTTGTTCCTCAACTGAGATCTCTGGGTTGATTTGGTCAATGGCCTATTGGTTTGTTTTCTTGACAGTCTATGATATTCTCTGCAATCTTGTCTAATACTTGTCTAAAATGTCAAAAATCCTTAAAAAAAGAGCATATATTTCTGTCCTTTTATCCCAAAGTCTGACTTTGGCTTTCATAGACTGTCATATAGAGAGCACCATGTTTTGCACAATTCTGATCTTTGTAGGTATGGACACATCCTGTCATTATAATATCTTTTCCAACCCTTTCATGGCTGCTATATGAAGTGCTAGTCTGTGGCATATTTATTAACTGCTGGTTCCTTTGTTGATGATGATGATTATGTAATTAGCTTGCTCTTTTTTATAATTAATTTTAGTCCTGAAGCTCCTTGACTTTATCTAAATTATATTTCCTGTGAAAGTTGTAAATATTAAATATGTTTTCATATTTTATTCTTAAGCAAGGTTGCTTAAGGTTGGGAAGTTTGAATACCTCCAAAGATTGTTGAACTACAGTTCTCATTATTCTTAACTATTCCCTAATGAGACTGATGGGGAGTCATTTTTCAGTAACATTTGGTGGGCATGAGGTTTATCATACTTTTTGAAAACCTTATTGGTCACTCAAAAATTCCCAAATGTTCTCCCCATTATATCCAATTTATTGATTGATAAATTAATAATCAATCAATTGTATTGAACAACTTTTAATTTTCTTGACCCATAAACTATTCTACCTGGCCAAATTCTTACTTACATTTGGTCTCTGTCACAGAGTATGTTGAATTGAACCTTTGCCAGGTAACTTAGGATAAGGGTGAAGATAGAACAGTGAACGTCATGTAGAGAAAATTCAGGCAGTCTGGCATTGTTTTTGAAATGAATTTCATGTATGTATATAATTCTTACATTCTTATCTGCTTGAAATTAATTTCTATTTCTGTTTTTTTTTAAATCTTTCCAGTGGCTTTTCATGGTCTTTCAGTGAAAATCAAGAAAGAACCCCACAGTCCATGTTCTGAACTCAGCTCTGCTTGTAGTCAAGAACAACCATTCAAATTCAGTTATGGAGAAAAGTGCCTGTACAATGTCAGGTAAAACAAATAGTATATTTTGTATTAGTTCTTTCAGTAGAAACTTTAACATCATGATGATACAGTAACGGAACAATTAAAATCTACTTTTTCTTGATCTTGAAAGAGGTTATCTGGTCTGATCATGTAGCCAAATTGTATTTGATCATACCAGTTTTTAAGTGGGGAAATGTTTTCTTGTCATGTTTACTCTAAGAAAAGTAAGCTAAAGTGGGAAAACAGTAGGCTAAATTGTCACAAAAGGACTTTTTTTTTTTCAAAAGGCAAACTCAATTTTGTTTTCTCCTGATTCCAAAGTCCTTTTGAAAAAGCACCTTTGGGACAACCATGACTTGGATAACTGAGAATCTTCATAAAGCGTAGGCTAAATTATTTCCCTTAGATACAGGAGTTTCTCTTTCATAAATTTTACAGTTGAAATAGTACTGGCTGCATGAATGCTTGGATTTTTTGTTTTTATTTCTAAAAAAGAAAATTTTAAAACAATTAAATCAGTGTTTCTCAATCTTGGTTTCATAACCTTTTAAAACTATGTGGACTTCAACTCCCAGAATTCCCTACATAGCTTAAAAGAGAAATATACTGATTAATTCTCTATAATTAGGCATACAATACTTCTGCTTGCTACCCCTTGACTATTTTTGCCAATAAATACACCCAACAAGCTTATGACTTTTTGTCATGATGGAACACTAGTTTGTTCTTATCTGTTATCATATCAGAGTTCCTGGTTCGCATATTTTATGAACAAACCATCTGTATGCAAATCTATCCATTGACAATTGACATCAATGGGTATGATCAAACAGGGTGTACAGGCATGCTTGTGCATTTCTGGAAAAATCAGATTACAACTGCTCACTCTCCATTGCATGCAAATAATTCTAATGGAATCTGGAATCTTCCACTGAGACTCATACATAATGAAACTGGTATTGGTTTTTTGACTTTATGTTGAAATTAAACTACAATTCCTGTTCCAGATTTTCAACACGCCCAGAAGCTAGCTATTCTAGTATGTGAACAAAGGGATAAGAGGACGGTGTTGAATTATTTTTGGGGAATGTTAAATCAGAATGACATTATTTTGTAAGCTAATCAAAAGCCAGTGAACACTATTAAATAAATATTCAGCCTCCACTTTAAATAACAGTTGATACCTGTATATTATTAATTAATTCTCACTATCTGCTTCATCAGGCTGCTATGCTTCCGGAATTGCTAGTCTATCATAGTTTTGTAGTTACTGTCTATGCATGATAGGCTCCTATTTGTTTTGCTTTGAAAAATGATTAAGAGGACTCCTGCCTTTATGGAAACAAGAACAGGGGCTTTGCTTGCACCTGTTACAGGAACAGTGCCAAACAAAAAGGGAACTTTAATCTTCTTTCAGATAGTGGCCCTTTTCCCAGTTTCAAATGATAGTGAAACAAGTGAAATTATGAATCATCTGAGTGCAGTCACTCTGGACAATGATCTGAAAGCTTGTTAAAGTTGTGTTATGATATAGGATTATAGGAGTTGAAGTTGAAAAAAATATTTGCAAGCCAGTATGGGTCATTATCACTTCCCTTAAGGAGATGCTGTTTTTCTTCCTTGGAACTGTTTTTTTCACACGTTCTGCATTGTAGGTAGAACTGTGGCTCCATTCATTTTCATTTATATCTTATTTCATCTCTGTAATTTCCAGTGACAAAGAAAGTGTAAAAATGCAACAGAGCATAACAGCTGGTGTACATGCTCTGTAAAAGTATCAAAAACAATCTGATGGTAATGGTCTCCAACAGTAGAAACCTGGGAAAATTAAGGCCATTGCCAAAAAGAAATCAAAGTGGGCATGAGGAATGTTTCCTTTGGAAGGAAGGTCCATAAGTGGTATCCAGATGCATTAGGATGGGTATAAAGTGTCTGCCTTTTTATTCATCCCACAGAGTGCTCTGCAGCGATGTATTTACTCTTGGGAGTTCAAATAGCTCTGCAACCAAGAGACTAACTTTTTTGAAGAAAAGAATAGCATCATTGTAATATGCATAACTCTGTATTTTTATTTTAGCTTTACTGTATGCTTCTAACATTCTAACAGTCTTCTAACTCTAAGATGGCAACAGACTTCTGAATGACGATGGATTATCTGTCCCCTGTCTGATTTTCCAGAACCTCTCTCTCAGTGGTCATAGATAAGGAAAGATGGAGAATTGTAGCTTAGATGTACCTAGAAAGATAACAGGTTCCTTCTCCTAGGTTCATATAAGGGAAATCCTTTTCTCCATTTACTGAACTTCCTTCATCTTTCAAAAATATGGATTCTTAGCAGGTTTACTAACTTGTTCCAATCAAATATGTCATGTTTCTTTTGAAATTCAAAATCCTTATATACATGCATACACTCATGCATACACCTATAGAAACATTGCAAAATTAAGTAAAAAAGAATAACATTAAAAATGCAAATCATTTTGTTGTATGACCCCATGTTATCACATGTAGACTTATATGTGCAAATTTCAAATGAAGTGTTTTATTCCAATAAAGGGCATTGCTGTATGTTAAAAAGAAAAAAGAAACATTGCAAATAAAACGTACGATGCCATATTTCTGGCATGTTTCTTGCTTAAGGATAAAATAAATCTTATTTTGGACATAACTGTTGAATGATTGCTGAAACTTAAAAATGAACCCAACTTCAAACAATGAAGCAATACACAGTACAATCTCTGTCTTCCAATTATCCATTTAGCATAATTTATACTGTATCTTCCAGTAATCTTAAATCAATATTCTGAAGTGATTCAGTGAAGGACTAGCTTATTGATAAGGCAGTATATTTGTTTCTAATTCCTATCAGGCTTTGGAATTGCTGCTAGTGCAGCTTACTCTATACCTGAGAAATCCCAATTTGCATCTTTGATGCTTCGTTTCTCGCTAATACTTGCTAGATTTATGTTAGAATTGGATAACCTAGAAATATGATAAATACATGAAAATTGATAAGATATGATTTGAAATAAGACTCTTTGGGGATAGGAGATCACTTTTAACATTTTCTTGTGGTAAGTTCTTTGAAATGCAAAAACTTGAATCTATTGTATAAAATTTTAATCAGTTTTGTTTCTATGCTTTGTGGAATATTTCTGATTTTTTAAAAAATTGTGATTGTAACCATTTTTATTTATGTTCTATAGCTTTAAATGTTCATTTTTGTAAAATTAGCTTGATCCAAAATCTTTATAAAGCTGCAAAGCTGTTTTTTTTTAAAATTGTGGTGCAAGCATTTTGTTCTACATATTCTTAAAAAGTAAGAAAAACAAACTCTCCAAACAAATAGCAGATGTATCTAACAAGCACAAAGAATAATCAGTGTGTATTTGTTATGTATATTATATCCAGAACTTCCTAACTGGGTTAGGAAATAATGCTGGATAGAGAATGATTTATGCTTTGATCATCTAGTAGAATCAAGATTAAGATTGTAATATAGAATCAAGATTGTTCAAGATTAGCATTAGTTATTGGCACAAGGAAGTTGATTAAATACTATGCTTTGTGCTATACTGTATTTGGTGTTGCCTAAATGCATAATGTGACCTTAGTTTTTGCATTTATAAACCATAATTCAGGACTTTGCAAGATATGTGAACTCAGCCATTATGGTACAGTCATGTAATCATGGTTAAAACAATCTAGAGGCAAATGATGAAAAAACATTCAACTTTAGAATTATACATCTGGTCTGTCTGGATCAACATTACCTAAAATGTGCCTTTTAGCTATATTTTGAGACTGTAATCTACCAGAACAATAGAAAGAATCAATAAAAAGCATCAAGACTGCATACAGTCTTGAGTGTGTTATGAAGTCTAACTGGGATTTTCTAGAAACTGATTATTTACAATTAGTCTATCTGAGAAAGCCATTTATATCTCCCCTTATTTAACCAACAGTGCCTATGATCAGAAGCCACAAGTGGGAATGAGGACTTCTAACCCACCAACTCCATCAAGCACTCCAGTTTCACCACTACATCATGCATCTTCAAACTCGATTCAGAATTCTAAACCTGACCGGATTTTTGCAACTCATTTGCCTCCATCCCAGCCCATTTCAGACAATAACTTTCATATGGATCACAGGTAACAGAGTCAATTCTTCCTATGTTTGTTTTCCATTGTAAGTAGGTTTGCCACTTTTTTATATTGTGTTTATTATTGAATATGTCAGGATCATCCACCATAGTTAATTTTATTTAAAATCTTGAGAATGATGTAGGACTGAATTCACATACATGCAGAGAAAAGAACAACAATCAATACATGGAAAGGTAAAATATTCTGAGACATTGTGCTGTCTATCAACCTATATTGTAACCCTATATACATTTTAAAAATGTTTCAGATAAAGGTCCTTCAGACTATGCAGAAATTTGAGCAGAATATTTCAAGCCTTTAAAAAGTTGCTATTGGTTTAATAAACCAAAACGGCATATTTTTCAGAACTAGGCAGAAGATACATTTTCTTTAATGAATAGCAGAGAAGCTTGAAGGATGCCTTCCAAGATATTTTCAGAACATGCTCAGTTCTAATACATAACACTATATTATAGCATTTTTAAAAAATTTTCTGTTAACAAAGTTAACAATTCTAGCACCTATTTTTTTCAAGTAATCAGTTGAGAAATCATTAGCTCTAGACAATCTGAATGTTTTTTTAAAATAATGGTATTTCAAGGGCAATAATAAAACAGATGTTAAAATCAACATCTCGTAAAATTCTACTGCATTTGGAGAAAGTACACAATTTTTTATAAATTTTATACAGATAAATACTATTTATCTGACTGGGGAAAATTACTACATAGGATTTTTATGAGGGTTACAAACCACTCTTTCTTTGTTCGTTATTTTAAATTTAATTTAATTAATTGTACGTAAATATTGCTGTTTAATGTTATAATTTGCATAGTATCCATTGAAAGGGTGTGGGCTTTTTTGTTTTTTATTTAGTCCTTTGAGCATTTTGAAATGCACTAGCTTAGGAAGAGGAAGTTAAACAGCCAAAACAAACTATGTTCAAATAACTTTAGACTTAGCAAAACCACAAAAGCTAAAAAAACTAAACTGAAGCTTCAGCTACGTCCCTGAATCACCCTGCTTATTTCTTAAATTTGAATTTCCTAAGGCAAAGCATCCATAGATTAAATTAATACATTTTGTTTACATTTAGTTATGGCTATATTTGAATTCTGATAATATTGTTAAAGCAACTCTAATTCATTCAGTTGGTTATATTCTAACCATATCAGAATGTACTGCCTAATTCAGTTTTCCCCACACCCATATATATTTTCCCCACACCCATAGGATTTAGTAATGTGTAGGCACATAGCTGACATACTATTTATGAAATTTCCCTAATATACACAATGATACAAATAATTTGGTGATGGTTCCATTAGTCTTTGAATTTGCATTTTCACTCTAAAGTCAGAATATCACCATATGAATTCTAAGATTTTAAGCTACAAATATTTCTTATTAGTTCCTTCTATTTGACTGTGATACTAAAAATTGCTTGTTGTACTGCAATTTCTAAATGAACAGACATGGAAGTTAATTCATTGAACTTGGTGGGCTTTCTTCAATGTTAACATGCATTTTATTTACATAGAATAATATGAAGGTTCCAGACAGAACTCAAAAAGTTAGCAAAATGTGATGAACCATGGCTTAGTATATTTGTAGCTTCAGTAAATTATTAAATTGTTACTGCCCACATGTGAGATGGATAGTGGCAGAAGACTTTAAAGTAAACAATCAATAGTATTGTATTCTATTATTTGTGAAAAGCCCAATTACCTTAATGAGTACCAAAAGAAATCAAAGCTACTTGTATAAACACATCTATCTATCTATCTATCTATCTATCTATCTATCTATCTATCTATCTATCTATCTATCTATCTATCTATCTATCTATCTATCTATCTACACACACACACACTATGAGTTCAATTATTTTCTCCCTCTTTATATGCCTTCCTTCTTAATTTAGTTTGGGTAATCCATACTTTACAATAATGTAAATTTAATTTGCATTAAATTTTCTGTAACACATTAAATGAAGTGTTTTGAATACTGAACATGCTATTTATATATAAATTATCAATCCAAATAAATAATATCATTTAAGTATCTGCTACCTGAATGACTGCAAAGTCAGTGTTTCTACTAAATATTATACTTACATTATTTTCTCCTTGTGCGATATAAAATATTGTTTCCTTGTTTCATTCATTTCTCTGTTACATTTAAATAGCTTATTAAAATCAAATGAACAAAAAAGAGCATACTTAATTGGTTCTTAATAAAACTGTTTATTATGGCAGGGTCAACCATGAAATCCTTCTCTAGGGGCAGCTGTTTTTATCTAATTCTTACAGAATGATGTTTCCTGTGCTGTCTCTTAGATTCTTGCTATACTCTGCAGAAAATTGTATATGTGTTTCTTTCCCAGGAGAAAAAATAATTTCCAAAATTTACTGTCATTTCCCCCATGCCATCTGTTGTGACAGTTTATCTTCTGTCCCACCCTGACCATAATCCATTCTTTCTCCATGGTACCTCTCTCTCCACCATTACTAGATTAATAATCATTGTCTGTGTTATTGTCGTAGATTTCGCCGTCAGCTCTCAGAACCTTGTAATTCCTTTCCTCCTTTGCCTGCCATGCCACGGGAAGGACGTCCGATGTACCAACGCCAGATGTCTGAGCCAAACATCCCTTTCCCACCTCAAGGGTTTAAACAGGAGTACCATGATCCAGTGTATGAACACAATGCCATGGTTGGCAATTCAGTCAATCAAAGTTTCCCTCCTCCTCTGATGATTAAACAAGAACCTAGAGATTTTGCATATGATTCAGGTAATACAACTATTTCTTTTCATTTTTTGTTCAGTAGGATTTGACTTATTTGACAAGATTTAATTTATTTTAAAGATTTAACTCTGAAAAACTTCACTAGGGTCAATATTTCTAGATAATTTAGGAGTATTCTGTTTTAACACATTAGATTGTTAATGAAAGTACAGGTTTTATCATGCAAGATTTATACCATTAAATAAAACAGCGTTTTTCCCCCGAATGATCTTGTTGTGTGAAAAGGCTTTTTATATATATAATGTCAAGGTACCAGAGGTAGGTTGCTACCGGTTTACAATGGTTCAAGTGAACAAGTATGGAATGTTGGCCTGGATTGCAGAACCGGCAGTTACCCAGGCTAGCCACGCCTCCGAACCGGTTCCCCCATCAGAGGGGATGATTTTTGGCATTTTTTTAATGTTCTGCACATGCGCAGATCTATTTACAGGCAACTATGCATGTGTGTGGAGCACACACGAAGCACCTGCGCACTGAACCGGCAGTAATTCTAGTAGCAACCCACCCCTGCAAGGTAATAGTCTAAAGTGGAAATTTAATACAAATATTTCATTTCAGGCTCTTTCCCAACATGAATTTATAACGCCCGTTGCAAGCATTAGATAGATTTTTTAAATTAATACTGATATTTTTATATTAATGATCAGTAGAAGAGCTCTGATCAGTCAAAACACTGAATATTGAAATTGTTCACTAATATTATTATTATTTAACTGAACTTGGCATTATCTAGAGATTTGGGGTATCAGACAAAACTGATGATGAATCTAACACATGATTTATGTAAAATCCCTTCCAATTGATAAACCAACTTTTCATTGATACTAGTTAATTTTTAATAATATTTTACAGTATAATAGAATACTCCTTGAAGTAAACAGTCTGAATATATTTACTTTAAAATTAAATTAGTAAGAAGGTAAGCAAGGACAGTATTTTGTAATTGTCACCTCAAGACTGGATTACTGTAACGCGCTCTACATGGGGCTGCCCCTGAAGAGTATTTGAAGACTGCAGTTGGTCCAGAATGCAGCCGCATGAGCGATATTGGGTGTACCTAGATACACCCATGTTACACCCATCCTCCGCGAGCTGCACTGGCTCCCTATTGGTCTCCGAATGCGCTTCAAGGTGCTGGTCATTACCTTTAAAGCCCTACATAGGTTTAGGACCTGGCTACCTGAGAGACCCCCTCCTGCCACATACCTCCCAACGACGAATAAGATCTCACAGGTTGGGCCTCTTCCGGGTGCCATCGGCTGGACAATGCTGGCTGGCGGCCCCCAGGGGAGGGCCTTCTCTGTAGCTGCGCT